TCATCCTGCCAATCCCTCATCCTGCATCAGCCTCATCATCATCATCATCATCATCATGATCTAATCAGCATCATCATCATCATCGTCGTCATCATCATCACATAGCATCAATCGTCCTCATCGTCGTCAATCATCATCAGCTCATCACCATCATCATCATCCAGCAACGTCTCATCATGATCAGAATCCATCATCACTTCATCATCGTCCCATCAGCATCGTCATCTATCATCAACATCATCCCCCCTCTTTCCTCCTCCTCCTCCTCCTCCTCCTCCTCCTCCTCCTCATCCTCGTCCTCCTCCTCTTCCTCCTCCTCCTCATCATCCTCCTCATCCGCCTCCGCCTCCTCCTCCGCCTCCGCTGCCTCCTCTCATCCTCCTTCTCCTCCTCCTCCACCTCCTCCTCATCCTCCTCCTCATCCTCCTTATCCTCCTCCTCCATTCATTTGCCGCATAGGTAACTTCTTCCTGTCGCACCCCGAGGCTGATCCGAAGGGCGGGTCGTGCATTTCGCCTGAGACCTCCTTACAACTTCTGACTCTGCAGCATAAAAAGCTGGCAACAGTTTCAAAGATGGGGGCGTGTGGTTTTCAAAATGTGGCTGTCACCTGTATGCCAAGAACAGTCGCCATAAAAATGTTGCAAGAGTTTCACGAATTGAGGGCGGGTCGTTTTCAAAATGTCGCTGTCGCCATAGCGCCGCGCACATTCGTCTCAAATGTATTAAAGAGCTACACGGGTTGAGGGCGGGTCGTTGTCAAATGTGGCTCTCGCCGTAGCGACGCGCACATTCGCCTTAAAGTGTTGCAAGAGTTTCACGGATTGAGGGCGAGTCGTTTTCAAAATGTCGCTGTCGCCATGGCGCCGCGCACACTCGTCTGAAAAATGTGGCAAGAGCTTGATGGAATGAGGGCGTCTCCTTTTCAAGAAGTGGCTCTCACCTTGGCGCCGCGCACACTCGCCTTGAACATTTGCAAAAGTTTCGCGTTTTGGAACGACTCAGGATTGCGAGGGCGCAGGGCGCAACAATAGCGCATTGTTCGCGGTGTCGAAATGCCAGGAACGGCGTTCTGGCAGGATTCAAGACCGTCAAAACGCAAAAGTCAGGTTCATTCGTGACGTTAAAGTCCCGAGAATGATGTTTTAGAACGCTTCAGGATATTCAAGCGGTTGTTTCCCAACAGGGCATTTCCTTCAGTGGAAATGAACCCTTGTAAGGGCCTGTGAAGACGAAGCTTGGAGGGAGGGCTGATTCCAACATGGTTGATGAGTCTTGGGTTGACACTGGTTCTCCTCCTCATCCCTCCTCTTCCTCCTCCTCCTCCTCCTCCGTCTGCTCCTCCTCCTCCGTCTGCTCCTCCTCCTCCTCCTCCTCCTCCTCCTCCTCCTCCTCCTCCTCCTCTGCATGATCATCAATCATCATCATCATCATCATCAGCATCATCATCATCATCATCATCATCATCATCATCATCATCATCATCATCATCATCATCAATAGCATTATTATTATCATCATCATCATCATCATCATCATCATCATCAGCATCATCATCATCATCATCATCATCATCATCATCATCATCATCATCAACAACAACAGCATCATCAAAAGCATCATCATCATCAGCATCAGCATCATCACCACCACCACAATCATCATCAGCAGCATCATCAGCACCATCAGCATCACCATCATCAGCATCATCAGCAGCATCACCATCACCATCACCATCATCATCATCATCAGCATCAGCACCATAAAAATCACCAGCATCAGCATCATCAGCAGCATCACAATCACCATCACCATCATCATCATCATCATCATCAGCATCAGCGCCATCATCATCATCATCATCACCACCACCACCACCACCATCATCATCAATCATCATCATCATAATCATCATCAGCATCATCATCATCATCATCAGCATCATCATCATCAGCATCAGCATCAGCATCAGCATCAGCATCATCATCATCATCATCATCATCATCATCATCATCATCATCGTCAGCATCGTTAGCATCAGCATCAGCATCAGCATCATCAGCATCAGCATCAGCATCATCAGCATCAACAGCATCCTTAGCAGCATCATCATCAGCAGCATCACATCATCATCATCAGCAGCATCGTCATCATCATCAGCAGCATCATCATCCCTCCTCCTGTCGATCCTCCTCATCATCATCATCATCATCATCATCATCATCATCATCATCATCATCATCATCATCATCATCATCCGCTTCCGCCTCGGCCTCCGCCTCCTCTCCTCCTCCTCCTCCTCCTCGTCCTCCTCTCCTCCTTCTTCTTCTTCTTCCTCCTCCTGCTGCTCCTCCTCCTCCTTTTCCTACTTTTCCGCCCAGTTCTCCGTCCTTTATTCCTCCTCTTTCTCCTCCACCTCACCCTTCCCCACCTCCCGCACGCGCGGCGCGGAGGAAGGAGGTGGAGGAGAAGAGGCGAGGAGGCAGGGAGAAGAGGCGACGGCCACGGCCACGGCCACGGCCACGGCGACGGCAATGGCGACGGCGACGGCCACGGCCACTGCGACTGCGACGACGACGACGACGACGACGACGACGACAGCCACGACGACCACGACGACGACGACGACGACCACGACGACGACGACGACGACGACGACGACGACGACGACGACGACGACGACGACGACGACGACCACGAAAAAAACGGCGGCGGCGGACGACGGCGACGGCGACGAAGCCGACGACGATCACGACGACGATCGACGACGACGACGACGACGCCAGCGTCGGCGTCGACGTCGGCGACGGCGACGACGCCCACGGCGCGGTTGCCCAGCATCATGTCGTAGGTGACGGTCACCTCGCGGCGCCGCGCGGGTACGCCCTCGCGCGGAAGGCGGGGGGGGGCTGCGAGCGGCGGACCCGCCGCACGCCGCCAGGGGAGCCCATCTCGGCGGTGGACACACCTCCCTTTAGTAAACCTCCCCTTAGTGAAAAGGGCCTAGAACCGAAACCGACGGACCTGGACCCGCAAAAATGACGGCCGCGACGCCCTCTCGCGAGCCGAAAACGGCCGATTCCTTAATCGACGTGTCAGGGTAGGAGATCTATCCACCTCCGACCATCAGCCAGCCTCTCATACCTCCCATTTCACCTTGCTGGCTCTTGCGAATCGGCGCTATCCGACGCTGGACGACGCTAAGTCGACGCTCATCGACGCTACACCGGTGCTACTCGACGCGAAGCCGGGGCGCTTCCTCACCGACTGCCAGACGCTAGAGCACACCAGCGCGCCCGAAAGACGGAATTGCGAAGGCAGACCTGGCCCGCAAGAGTTGCTGACCGAGGCCTCCCGTGCAGCCAGTCGACCTCCTGACCCTCAGGGGTGCACTGCCCGCTGCGGGGAAAGAGGGGAACCCTCAGGCCTCCTGGCCGCTGCAAATGTTCAACCCCGGTTTCGAGCCCCGGGGCCAGGACGGGTCGCTCCGGCTCGGCAAGTGCGGCAAATAGATGGGTCCTCGGGCTCCAAGATCTGTCTTCTGAGATGTTGCAAGCTGCTGCATCGTCGGACCTCAGGTGGTGTCCAAGTCGGAAAAAAGTAGGGGAGAGGGAAAGCAGGAGCGAAGACGTCCATCTGACGAGCTGCCCTCGGAAGAGCCATTTTGCTTCCCGCATGGGTTCCACCCACAGGCGGGAGGAGAAGGAAGAAGAAGAGAGGATCGAGATAAGTATAAGGCGGAGGGGGGAGGATCACTGGGAGGGGAGGGGGAGAATCGCTGACCAAGCTTCCTGATCAAGAGCGGGCGGACCGCCAATAGACAGCCCTTCGGGGTTGAAGGCTCTGCCTGAAGGGGAAACAAACTCTGCTCAGGGAAAACCCCGGCTCGTAACCTGCACACGGGTGATGACAGCGAGGGCAGGCGGAGGGGAGGCGTCGGGGAGCGAACCGAAAGAACCCGACGGTGCATGTCTGAGTTTGCTGTCTAGTATTAAGTCGGGCGTGTTCTCAAAATTGGTCAAAAAAGCGTCCCAAGACTATTTTTTAACTATATTTGAATATTCCTCCTGTAGAGGGACAGGCCCGACTTGAGTCTAGCAGTGTACTACAGCGAAGACTTCGGGACAATCCCGCCCGAAAAAAAGACCTTGGGTTTCGGGGGCCCTGTCTACTGCCTGCGGGAACCGCACAGTGAGGCAAGCGCTCGCGCGCTGGCCGGCTCCCATCCCAGTGCTCTGAGCTGTGCCAGAACCTCCGTTACCGAGGCCCTTCTGAGACGCTTGCGAGGGGGAGGTTGCGGAGGCGGGGAGGGGTCAGGACGTCCCGGCACGGAGGATTCAAGCAAGGTCGAGCGAGAGCAGGGGGGACCAGAGGACTGCCCGCAGAGGCATTGGCAGGGAGAGGGGACAAGTCGGGGAGAGCAACTACCGGGGTCAGCACGGTGTCAAGTCCTACTCTCAGGGTAGAGGGCAGAAAATCCACCACGATCATAACCATCCCGACACGCGAAGCCGTTTAGTAAACGCACCCAACAAAAAAAGAAATCAAGCAGGGCAGGGCGTTCAGTAAACGCCCAGGGCCGTTTTTTTCAAACGCCAATTGTCCGGTCTGGGCGGTTTTTCCTCCCTTGATAGGGGCTGTGGGGTGGTAGGCGCACGGTCCAGGGATTTCACCGCACTCCCGCGGGGCTCTCTGGGAGCCCCTCCCGACAGAGCCTCCAAAAGTCGGCGGCAGCTCGCCGGGGCCGCAGCACCGCGGTGCCCCGGCGAGGCGGAGAGCGCCCAGGTCGCTCTCGACCCCGTCGGTCCCGAGCACGTTCGAGGCAGCCTCGGCCAACCTACACCCTGCGAAATGCTTAAGAAATCATGGGTTAAGAAATTCATAGTCTCAGAACTTGAAGAAAAACCCAGGATGTCTATTCAAATCTTGGGATTTACATTGAAAAGTTAAGAATAATCGAGACTCTGGCCAAAAAAATAGGTTTTCTTAAGCATCGCCTAAGGTGTACTGGGCCCCGACGGCACGATCGTGCTGGACCTCGGGCGCCGCCCGCGGTCGGCTGGCAGCACCCGACGCAGCAGGCCGCCAGCAGGCCGACGGCACCTCGGCCGGCGACGTGGCCCAAGCAGAACGGCTGGGCCCCGCTGGCGCCGTCGATCCGGACCGTCGGCGCCGGCAGCCAGCACCCAACATCGCAGGGCGCACCGAGGCCAGCGACACCGACGAGGCTCGATCAGGATTTGTTCGAAAGCCACGAGCTCGGTGTGCAGCAGCCTCTCCATGTGCGGCACAGGTGTTGTGCCCGCCTCGATCTCGCCGCCCAGCTGCTCCAGGTATTTCGCGATCAGCTCGGAGTCCGCCGTTGTCTCCCACGATTACTTTGGCGCACATGTCCTTGAACGTGGCCGCCACTTTCAGGAACGAGACCCTGACCCTGCATGCCTCTAGGTGAGGTCCTGCATCTCCGCCTTCTGCATGATCAGGTGGACCTCGTTCGCGAGGCCGACTCCGTCAACCTCGCTCTCGAGCCCCTCGATGGTCCCGACCAAGGCCGCGCTACTGATCCAGCCGTTCTTCTTCAGCTCGTCGTCGGCCCCCCCTCTGCCCGTAGCTTCTGCATGGCTGGAATGCCGCCGATGGAGCCAGGACCGTCGTCAGCAGCATGGAGTCGGTCTCGTTGCATCCCGAGGTTCAGCGGGAGCTTCATCATGACTGGGACGAGCAGCTGGACCTCCATGATCAGCATCTCGTCAAGATCTACGAAGGCGCCTTCGTCCAGCATCTTCCTGTCCGTAGCTGCACGCCCTCCGCTGCGTTGTCGGGGACCCTTTGTGTGGCATGCTACTGGTGCAGTCGGAGCTCCTGGCCAATGCCGCAAGATCTGCTGCTCCCGTGCCTGTGGATGATCTGGCTGTGAGGATCGGAGGCCCCCCTTTATCCCTGCATCGGGTCGGCTGTGCCTCGATATTGTCAAGGCTGCACTCAGTTCGAAGAAGCTGACGGCCTGGGAGAAAGGATGTGTGCGGGCCCTAGTTTGCAAGGCGATCCAGACCAACGCCAGAGCCCGCAGGTACGGCTACCAACCGAGTTGCATGTGCCCATTGCGTAAAGCTAAAGTCGACAACGTTTTTTCACAGGCTGTGGGAGTGCGCGGCCTGCCAGAGACAGGGACAGGCTGGAGCTAGTTGATACTGAGACTATTGAGACTATTGAATGGGATGAACAGGCTTTGACTCCCATATCTCAGCAATTTCCTCGTTGGTGGCTTCGAACACCCTGGAGATGGGGTCCCTCCCCCTGCGGCTCAGCTTGGCATGGTCGATGTTAAGGCTGAAATCGTCCAGGAAGGTGTTCAGGCTTCTGGACTGGACTTCCCTCGGCCCGAGTCGGTCAAATTCGAGGGAGGCGCTGTCCTTGATGGTAGTTGCGAAGTTCCAAGTGTAAAAGAGCTCTCGCGTGCAGGCTGGGGTTTTGCTGCTGTCTCGAAAGAGGGGCACATGCTGGCCAGGGTGTGCGGGCCCATTTGGGCTCACCTGCCTCGGACTGGCCAGTCGGGAGAATCCTCTGGCCCAGTGGCCGCGGGTGCTATTCCTGACTGATCGACCACGCACTTTTTCAGATGGCGCCTCTGTGGTCTCTGCTGCCTCCAGGGCCCTCTTGGACTGCATCAGTGGGCTCAGGACCCATGCGGGGTCCATCCTGGAGGCGCTTCCCTGGAGTGGGGTCCAAACCTCAGGGTCTGGTCAGAGTGGCCACCCACAAGGACCTCCACGAGTAAGGCGTCTCGTCCGAAGAGTCTCGGAGGCGCACTCGTAATGATCTAGCGGACCGTGCTGCGGAGGCTGGAGCAGTGCTTCACCCACAAGCCAACCCAGAGATCCTTCAGTGCGCGGATCGTTGGATCCGTGCTTCAAAGGCGGTCGTCAGACCTGGGGCCAGGCTTGTTGCCCAGGTGGCCCAAGTTGGACCTCACAGGCAGAGAACGTGCTAGGCCCGCCAGGGAGGGGAAGGCTTCTGATTTCGAGAGGCCAATATTGGGGGGCGGAAAGATACGGATACGTGTTGTCCCCGGACCTCTCTTGGGGTGCGTTCTGACCAGAATTTCGAGGCGAATCCAGCGGTGACAACGAGGATTCCCCAGGAGGACCAGGAAAGGCCGAAAACGACGGGGGACAACACGTATCCGTATCTTTTTCTCCCCCGACAATGCTCGAGGGAGGGGAGGTTGGTTCCCACCAGGCCCGCAGGGAGGGGAGGGGGCATGGCCCGGTGAGTCTGGGCAAGGCGGCGTCTGCCTCCGGGAGCCGCCGGGGGGCGCGGAGCGGCCTGGACCTCTGGCCACCGTGCGGCTCGCCTGGCAGCTTCAAGGGGCCCCAGGACACCCAAACAAATACACACGAATAAAAAGATTCCTCCTATTTTTTCCCATATTTTCCCCATATTTTCCATATCTCATATTTTCTCATATTTTCCCATATTTTCTGGGAAATCGACGATTATAATTGTGTCTGCGTGTTTTTTCTCTCCTCCTGACAGCTGTGCCCTGAGGTCCTGGAGAAGAGCAGCGATCAGGGTGCAGCGACCGACTGCTCGGGCGGCTCGTGCGCTCCCGCGTGCATCCGCGCGGATGTATGGTTCCGTGCAGCTCGGGGGGGCCGCGTCGCGAGGCTGGGTCGGCCCTGCGAGCCCGCCCCCCTTTCAGACGCGGGACACGCGGCCTGGAAATGGGTTCTCCCGCGGAGGAGGAGGAGGAGGAGGAGGAGGAGGAGGAGGAGGAGGAGGAGGAGGAGGAGGAGGAGGAGGAGGACGCGCGAGAGGAGGAGGAGGAGGCGCGAGAGAGGAGGAGGAGGAGGCCTGGACACGCGGCCTGGACACGCGGGCGGATGCCCGGAGCAGAACAAGAGGAGGTAAGGTCAAATGTCTCCCCTCGCCTTGGGCTTGTTCTGTGACAACATTCGGCAGGGATGGTCCCCTGGAGAGGGGGTCAAACAGGCGCTGGTTGTCAAAATCCTCCTCCTCCTCCTTCTCCTCCTTCTTCTCATCGTCATCATAATAGTCTTCATCTTCATCATCATCATCATCATCATCATCATCATCAGCATCAGCATCAGCATCAGCATCAGCATCATCATCATCATCATCATCATCATAATCAGCAGCATCATCATCATCATCATCATCATCATCATCATCATCATCACCACCATCATCATCATCATCATCATCATCATCATCATCATCATCATCATCATCATCATCATCATCACCATCATCACATCATCATCATCATCATCATCAGCAGCATCATCAGCATCAGCAGCAGCATCAGCATCATCATCAGCATCATCATCACCATCACCATCATCATATCATATCATCATCAGCAGCATCATCAGCAGCATCATCATCAGCATCATCATCATCGGCATCATCAGCATCATCGTCATCATCGTCATCATCAGCATCATCATCAGCAGCATCAGCATCAGCATCAGCATCAGCATCATCATCAGCAGCAGCATCAGCATCATCATCAGCATCATCATCACCATCACCATCATCATCATCATTATCATCATCATCATCATCATCATCATCATCATCGTCATCGTCATCGTCATCGTCATCATCGTCATCGTCATCATCGTCCTCATCGTCATCGTCGTCATCATCGTCATCAGCATCATCATCATCATCATCATCATCATCATCATCATCATCATCATCATCATGACCACCACCATCATCATCACCATCACCATCACCACCATCATCGCAATCCTCCTCAGCCCAGGAAGCCTGCGGCAGCAGCGGCGCCGCGCGCGCTGCAGGGCGGGCGTTCCGCGGGGCCTCGCGCAGAACGGACCGGATGCTGGCCTTCAGCGGCCCGTCCAGCTGCAGCAGGCTGGCGCCGCCCTTTGGGGGCAGGGCGAGGCACTGCTCGGGGAGGAGGAGGAGGAGGAGGAGGAGGAGGAGGAGGAAGAGGAGGAGGAGGAGGAGGAGGAGGAGGAGGGGAGGGGAGGGGAAGGGAGGGGAGGGGACGGGGGTTTTACATGCGTCCGTCCCTGAAGTACTGGCCTGGCCTTGCAATTGTTTCACACCTGGCGTCCTCGCCCAGTCTCGGGGCCCAGGAACATCACATACCGATTGGCTCGACAAGCGGCGCAAAACGGCAAGGTATAGATTCTAGTCGTGATTTCTCGGGATGTTGCACTTTGTTCGCACGGATCTCAGAGTTGTACATGCACTTCTCGAGGAGTGGCGGGGGAAGGGAACAATGGAAGGAAGGAGGGACGGACGGAACCAGAACCCCTCGCCGCGCGGAGAAATCACAACTGGAGGGTTTTAGCCACTCTCGATTTCTAGGGGCCCCTGCTGGGCCTCCAGGCCGCCAAAATATGACTGAGGATGAAAAGCCGGCCCCCTTTGACCCCAATGGCTGGGGGCCCCCCAATGTAACAAGGGTGGGGAGTTCGGGTGGAGATTCATGGGAATTTCTGTGAAACTGCGCGGCCATATCATAAACGCGATTTCAATCAGATTTCGTCCAGATTCGACCAACCTCTTCACGGTTGCTGACGCTGCGCCAACGTGCTCGGGCGCGCTCGAAAGCCCCGACGAGGTGCGCACCGCGCGTTTTTCCACAGAAACGTCGCGCACCGCCGGGTCGTTTGCGGAATTTTTTTCGCCGAAGGAGCCGGCGATCTCAGCGTCGATGCCCGAGTCGACCACTGCCGCTGGTGGAGCCGCCCCGCACTGGCGCCACCGGCGGCCGCCAGCACAGCCGGGCTCGGCGCCGCCCCCAACGCAGGTGGACCCATGCCATCCCAGCTCGATCCGGCCACGGCGCCACAGGCACCCTGAACCTGATCTCGAGTGGGCGCACCCGCAAGGAAGGTGTGCCGATGGGCAAAATGGACCGCCGAGGCGAGGTTGCCTGGCGATCCTTCGATCATGCGTTCAAAGCGACGCAACTGGCCCGTCACGCGCGTGAGCTGCCAGGCGTTCGCGGGGTAGGCCATGTGGCAACGCTGCAGAATCATGGTCAAGTGGAGGTTCGACGCGCCAACGGCGCGTCGCAAGAGGAAGCTGAAGCCCTCGTAGCCGATCATGAGTTGTCCCGCTAGTTGCGCCCGCTTGCGCAAGATGTCGAAGATCGTGGGAAGGTTGTCGATGCGCACTTGCGACTATCTATTGACGTTCTTCGGTGCCGACACTGCCAAAGCGCACCCCCCTCGCCCAGTTGGCCCCACCGTTCGGCCAAACTGTGCGTAAGGGAGGTCATCGGTGGCACTGGGTTGCCGTTGATGGAAAAGCCCCCGGATCAGGACAGCCAGCGGCCTTTCGTCCACGCACTCGCGCGCCACGCCGGCGAGGCGCGACGAGACGCAGGCCGCCCGGCGAAACTCGTTGAGGTCTGAGTTCGCCATTGACCACATCATCACCTCGCGCGCCCAAATCTGAAAGGCAAGCGAGATTGCTGCTCGGGCCCCCAGGCACGGAAGCGTCGCTTGATGCCGCAGCCGCCGTTTGCGTACATACAGGCGAGACAAGCGCCGATGCCAATCACACCCACCCTGATAGCCTCCCATCAAGAATGCATGTGCCCCCACACATCACATAGACGCTGGAGGCCGGGAATCCACCAGAGGCGTTGCTCAGGCAGGGTGCCTCGGAGCCGCCGCGGAGATTTGCCCTCGACGCATGCGCATTGGACGTCTGCTTCTGTCGCGTCTGCTTCTGTCGCGCGGTTGTAGCGCCCTTGGCGCTCGGAGCACCTCCAGACGCAAACAGGGGCACGTTCTTCGTACATCGTGTTGTCACTGCATTGAGCACCGCCGTCTGCACGGTAGTCGAGAGGAGTGCGCATCGGGACCCCGTCCTGCTAGGCTGCTGGGAATGCGTGGGTACCTTTAACGGTCGCATGACAAGAAACCGACGGGTTCTCCCAGATCCGCTTCGTTGTCCAACGGCGCGTCGGCGACACAACCGCCAGACCCTCGATTGTATCCCCGCTCTTCTCTGCCTGCTCCTCCCGGGGCTCTCGTGACACAGTCACCAAACGCTCGGGACCCTTAAATGACACTGCACCTGTGCACGCTGTCTCGAAGAACTGTATGACCTTTGCGGTTACACCCACAGGCGGGCGCATTGACGGCGTAGGGTCCGCGAATTGCGCTGACTCTGTCAATACACGCCCAAGAGGGATCGCTGAGGGCTTCGGCGCGCCACGAGACTCGTCGTCGTCGCCATCGGCGCTGCCGGGGTCGTTGTAGGTCTCGTTGAAGGCCTTGTTGACGTAGATGTGCGCCTTCCCCGTCACGAGTCCTGGCGGATGGGCGGACGCTGCCCCGACGGACCCACCCTACGGTGACGTCTCCTGCCATGGTGATTGGGAAAAGGTGCACGAACGCGACGAAGGCGGATGAGAAGCGGGATGATGCAGAGCGGCACGAAAAGCGAGATGATTGAAGGCAGCGGAGAGCCAGAGCCATGGCCATCGAGGCGCGGCCAAACATGGCGGCCGTGGCATTGGAGCCGAAGCTCCGCTCCAAACTAAAGGAACAGATGCAAAAGAGATAGGGATGAGAGACAGGGTCTCTCGCACAGCGGAACGAAGGTTGGTAAAGTGCGTCTAAGACGGGCGCACGATACCTGGCCAGGCTGTAACTGGCCGCGGTAGCAGGGCAGTGACGGGACGGGGTGAGATGGGCAGGCCTACCGTTCGAGCGGGAGAAGGAGGAGAGATGGAGGAAGGAGGGGGGCGGCGACGCCTCATCAGGAGCACGGGTCACGATTCGCCGAAATCGAAGGGGGATAAAAGATTGCCCTAGCTCCTCGAGTGCGCTCTGAAGCGGGGTCTGCGCCCGTGGGGGTGCCCGCTGCACGTCGGCACGTCCACGGAGGTATCCCGACGGCCAGGCGCGCCCCCAAATAACACAAAACTGCTGGGCTGCTAAAGCAGGCGGAACGGTTTCGAACCAGGGCCCAAGAGGTAGGTGATGAGGTGGGGGGAATTCGGAAAATTGGGGGATTCTACACCCTGCGAAATGCTTAAGAAATCATGGGTTAAGAAATTCATAGTCTCAGAATTTGAATAAAAACCCAACATTTCCATTCAAATCTTGGGATTTACATTGAAACATTAAGAATAATCGAGACTCTGGCCGAAAACTTGGGTTTTCTTAAGCGTCGCCTGGGGTGTAGGTGATGAGGTGGGGGGAACTCGGAAAATTGGGGGATTCTACGGGGGCGCCGGAGCGCGAGCGGAGCCCTCGCCAGAAAAGGCGTTCGTGCGACGAGGACGGAGACGAGGGTGGAGGAGGGAGAGGGGAAGGGGGGAGGACGCAGGGAGGGGGAGCGATCCTCGCTCCTCTCCAGCTCCTCCCTCCCTCTCTTGTCCCTCCCTCGTCTCCCTCTCTGCTCCTCGCTCGCTCGAGGGGCTTCCGAAAGGAGACTGGCCCAGCAAATTCATGGACATGCTTTTGAAGAGAGCTTCTGATTTGCGGCAAGGCCAGGCCATGAAAATCCTTCGCCGAGCGCTGCTCTGAACCAACTGAATACTGGCGTTCGGCGACAGGCTGCGCGCTAGCGTATACAAATGCAAGACGTAGCATGAACTCCCGCAGTTCTGATCGGAGCTCCAGAAGTCAAGTCCATACTTACGTCGCCCCGAGGCTGGTCGAAAGGGCGGGCCGGGCGTTTCGCCTGAGGCTTCCCCTCCATTCACGTATGGAGGGCGGGTGGTGTTCAAAATGTGGCTCTCGCCTTTGCACCTCGCACATTCATCTTAACACATCTGCAAGAGCTTCACGGATGGAGGGCCGTCTTTCAAAATGTGGGAATCGCCTTAGCGCAGCGCGCACGCGTCTTAACAACTTGCACGAGCTTCACGAATGGAGGACGGCTCTTAATGTGGCTATCATCTTGAAGCCACGCGCATACGCCTTAACACATTACAAGAGCTTCGCGGATGGAAGGAGGCTCCTTTTCAACATGAGGCTTCCGCATTCGAGCAGCGCATATTCGTGTTAAAATGTGCAAGACCTTCACAGATGGAGGGCCGTCTTTCAAAACGTGGCTCTCGACTTAGCGCCGCGAACACCCCTCTTAACAACTTGCATGAGCTTCACGGATGGAGGGCAGGCTCTTATTTATAAAATGTGGCTATCACCTTGACGCCACGCACATTCATATGAATAAATTACAGGAGCTTCACGGATAGATGGCGGTTCCTTTTCAAAATGCGGATCTCGCCTGAGCGCTCGTTTTAAGACTTCACAACACATTCAAATATGATCATATGTACGTACCGTCCCCCGATATGGTGTTTTGGCACGATGTCGGATTGTCAGGGTGCAACAGTTACATGGATTCGCAATGTTGGAGTCGCTAGAATGGCGTTCTGGCAGGATTCAAGATCGTCAAAACGCAGCGATTCGTGGCGTTGAAGTCCCAGGCATGGTGATCGGGTGCAGATCACAATTGTCCATTGGTTGCCTTCCAAAGAGGCAATCCTCTCAGCGAGAACGAATCTTTGCATGGGGCCTGTGAAGAGGAAACTTGGAGGGAGGGTGTATTGCAATATCGTTGGTGAGCCCTGGGTTTGGACTGGTCCTCGTCCTCCTCCTCCTTCTCCTCCTCACCTTCCTCCTCCTCCTCCCCCTCCCCCTCCCCCTCCCCTCCCCCGCCCCCCGCCCCCTCCGCCTCCCCCTCCCCCTCCCCCTCATCCTCCTCGTCCTCCTCCTCCTCCTCCTCCCCATCCTACTCCTCCTTCTCTTCCTCCTCTCCTGTCTCTTCATCGCCGTTCCTCCTCTCCTGTCCCTTAATCACCGTTCCTGAAACGCTCTCCCTTCCCGAGACACCTGATGCCTGGACAGCACAGCGATGGCGTTGTTCAGGTTGGTGAGGGCCTTTGCCGGAAAGGGGCGCCAAGACGGGAAGGAGGAGGGACGGGCGAGGAGGCAGAGAGAGGGAGGGGAGGAAGAGGAGACAGGGAGAGAGGAAGGACAGAGGGAGGGGCGCAGGTCTCCGTTGCATGTAAAGCTGGACATCTGTTGGCTGTCAATGGCGGAAGCTCGGTAGCAACTCAACGACTCTCTTACACCTACTGGGCACTGGCACCTCCTCCTCCTCATGATCATGCTCATACTCATGCGTATCCTTCAGCTTCTCCCTCCGTAGAACTCGCGTGGAAAATGTTCGACTCCGGAGACTCCGTTTCCAAACATTACATTCTCGGAGGTCCCCACAAGGACCCCGGAGAATACATTCCCGGGAAATCTAGGAGGTCTCCGGAAGTCCTCTGAGAATCATGGGGCCTCCAGAGCCCCAAACACCATCAAAACCACCATAAACTAATCGATATCTTCCTCCTCCTCCTCCTCCTCCTCCTCTTCCTCCTTCTCATCATCATCATAATCATCCTCATCCTCATCCTCATCATCATCATCATCATCATCATCATCATCATCATCATCAGCATCACCATCATCGACAACAACAATATCATCATCACCACCACCACCATGATCATGATCATGATGATCATCATCATCATCATCATCATCAGCAGCAGCAGCATCAGCATCATCATCATCAGCATCACCATCAACAACAGTATCAACATCATCACCACCACAACCAACATGATCATCATCAGCAGCAGCATCATCAACAACAACCTTATCAACATCATCACCATCATCATCAATCATCATCTTCATCACCACCACCACCATCATCATCGGCATGATCATCATCGGCAAAATCATCATCATCATCATCATCATCATCATCATCATCATCATCATCATCATCATCATCGTCTTCCTCCCTCTCCTCCTCCTCCTCCTCCTCCTCCTTCTCCTCCTCCTCCTCATTCTACTCTTCTTCTTCGCGCTCCTCCTCCGTCTCCTCCTCCATCTCATCATCATCATCATCATCATCATCATCATCATCATCATCATCATCATCATCACCATCATCATCACCATCACCATCACCATCACCATCATCATCATCGATCATCATCAGCAGCAGCATCAGCAGCAGCAGCAGAATCAGCATCAACATCAGCATCAGCATCATCAACATCATCACAATCGTCATCATCATCATCAGCAGCATCGTCGTCATGATCATCATCATCGTTGTCATTGTCGTCGTCATCGTGATCGGCACCATCATGATCATGATCACTATCAGCATCACCGGCATCATCATCGTCATCGTCACCGTCATCGACAGCATGATCATCAGCAGCAGCATCATCAGAATCGTCGCCGGCATCATCATCATCCTCATCATCATCATCATCATCATCATCATCAGCAGCAGCAGCAGCATCAGCATGATCGTCATCATCATCTGCATCATCATCACCATCCTCCTTCACATCCTCCTCATCACCTCACTGTCGTCATCATCATCAGCAGCATCAGCATCATCGTCATCGTCACCGTCATCCTCATCATCACCATCATCATCAGCAGCAGCATCAGCGGCATCATCATCAACAACATCATCAGCATCACCGTCATCAGACGCAGCATCATCAGCATCATCATCAGCATCATCATTATCATAATACTACTCATCATTATCAGCACCAGCATCATCAACAGCACCATCATCAGTATCAGCATCATCATCATCATCATCATCATCATCATCATCATCATCATCATCATCATCATCTCCATCAGCATCAGCATCATCATATCAGCATCAGCATCAACAACATCATCAGCACCAGCCACATCCTCATCCTCATCATCCGCCTCCTCATCCTCCTCCCCTATCCCTCTCCTTAAAAAATAAGTCCCCCATGTCGCATCCCCCGGCGTGTCGGAGGGGCGGGCGAGTCGCTTCGCCTGGGACTGCCTCACCGTGTATGGTCCTGAAGCGTGGAATGTTCAACAGTTTCACGGATGGAGGGCGAATCACTTTCAAAATGTGGCTCTCGCCGTAGCCCCACGCACCTCAGCTTTGAAAGTTTGCAACCGTTTCGATGATTCGGATGGCCAAGTCCCAGTGATGGTCTTCTAGCACGACCTGGAATTGTCAGGGCGTGGCAGTCACAGTGGCCCGCGGAGCTGAAGTCCCAAAAACGTCGTTCTGACACGATCTAAGACGGTCAGGACGCACCAGTCACGTTGATTCGCGGTGCTGAAATCCCAGGAATTGCGTGTTGCCACGATTGAAGACTCTCAGACGGTTGCCCTCCAGTGAAGCACTTCCCGCAGTGCACATGCATTCCCGTAGAGACCTGTGAAGTGGAAATTTGGAGGGAGGGCTTATTGCAACATCATGTTCCTCATCCGCTCCTCCTCCTCCTCCTCCTCCTCCTCCTCCTCCTCCTCCTCCTCCTCCTCCTCCTCCCCATCCTCCTCCTGCTCATGCTCCTCCTCCTCCTCCTCCTCCTCTTCCTCCTCTACTTCCTGCTCAAGCTCCTCCTCCTTCTCTTCCTCCTCCTGCTCCAGTTCCTCCTCGTCCTCCACTTCCTGCTCAACTTCCTGCTCCTCCTCGTTCTACTTCTCCTCGTCGTTCTCCTCCTCCTCCTCCTCCGTCTCCTCCTCCACCTCCTCCTCCTCCTCCTCCTCCTCCTATTCCTCCTCCTCCGCTTCCTCACGCTCCTTATCTTTCTCCGTCTCCTCCTCCTCCTCATCCGCCTCATCCTCATCGTCCGTCTCGTCTTCCTCCTCCTCGTCCTCTTCCTCCTCCTCCTCCTCCTTCTCCTCCTCCTCCGCCTCATCATCATCATCATCATCATCATCATCATCATCATCATCATCATCATCATCATCATCATCATCAGCATCATCAGCATCATCATTATCATCATCATCATCATCATCATCATCATCATCATCATCATCAGCATCAGCATCAGCATCATCATCATCATCGTCATCATCAGCATCAGCATCAGCATCAGCATCATCATCATCATCATGAGCATCAGCATCATCATCATCATCAGCATCATCATCGTCATCTTCATCTTCATCTTCATCTTCATCATAATCGTCGTCATCAGCATCGTCATCATCATCATCATCATCATCATCATCATCATCATCAGCATCATCATCATCATCCTCATCATCATCCTCATCATCATCCGCATCGTCATCAGCATCAGCATCATCATCATCATCGTCGTCATCATCATCAGCATCATCATCAGCATTATTAATATTATCAGCATCAGCATCATCATCAGCATCATCATCAGCAGCATCAGCATAATCAGCAGCACCATCAACAGCAGCATCATCACCATCGAATCGTCATCGTCATCATCATCAGCAGCATCATCATCATCACCAGCATCATCAGCAGCATCATCATCATTATAATCAGCAGCAGCATCATCATCGGCAGCACCATCATCATCATCATCATCATCATCATCATCCTCATCATCATCATCATCATCATCATAATCAGCATCATCATCATCATCATCATCATCATCATCATCATCATCATCATC